TCAATGTCTTTTCGGACTGGCGGTCCCAGTGATGTGACTGCCGACAGCGTTTCAGGTGCGGATGACTGCCATCAAGTTGCAAGACGGAGGGCTGCCGCAGCCTTATGTTTCCGGATGTCTCCGACCAAGAGGTGGCGAAAAGTAAGGTGGATCCACAACCCGATCGCTCCAACATCGGAGTGTGAAGCTCTTCTCAGGTCCGAGTCCCACAGGGTTCTGTTCTGTGCAGACGAGCTGAGCTCATTGAGCTCTCAGCCAGGGAACTTGGCCTGCCCGTGAAGTACATTGTTCTGGGCAGTGCGCAGCTGGGGACTTGGGCTGAACACGAAAGTGCGACGGATGCTAATTTGAGCTGCAAGGTGTAAAAATGTAAGAATGTTCGTGCAAGGGCAAGCTTGTGTTTCAGGCCCATGCGACATGACAGGAACTGCAGTCCAGAATTGTCTTCCTGAGTTTTTGAAGCTCGAGTCTTCGGGAGCTTGACAGCGTCAGCGACGCTCCGAGGCTCGAGTCGTCGGGAGCTTCCGAGCGTCACCGAAGCTCGAGTCTTCAGGAGCTTTAGTGCGTGAGCGAAGCTCGAATCGTCGGGAGCTTCAGAGCGTTGTAGAGCGTCATCGGTCACGAAGAACCTGAAACTCTCAGGCAGGTCAGACAAACCCAAAGCTTGAACTGAACGGTGAAAACTTACCACCCATCTTCGACCCCTATTTCAGTTGCTTGCCTTTTTAGCTTGATGTAAGCTGAATTTTGCCAGGGAGCGTCCCTCTTGGTTCGTAAACCAAGGAAGCTCTGAAACTTGTGAAGACTCGAGAATCGCTGACGCTCTGAAGCGCTCCTGAAGACTCGAGCTTCGATGACGCTCTGGAGCTCCGGAACACTCGGGCTTCAGAGCTTCGCTGACGCTTTGAAGCTCCTGTAGACTCGAGCTTCGAACAACAACTCAAAAGGGTTCCATGGGATGGGGGATGCATGTTCGGGGCTTCCAGAATGTCTTCAGGGTCTGAGATATCAGCGCTAAATGCGTGAAGCCCGGCGTAGTTGCTGATGTAGGAATATAATTGTCCAATTTCGCATCCCGCAACGTAGCAAGTCCCAGCTGACCAGACCAGAATCAATGCAAAGGGACCCTAAGGCACATGACAACTCGAATCCCTTGGCTCTCTTGCGGAATCCTGTAGTGCAGTGCTTAACACACCGAGATACGAGCACAAGATCTTCGTGGCGCCTTTTGCTCGACGCTGGCCAGATGCGAAGGTACCCTGGCTGTTCACGTGTGCGCACGAGTGCCTGTGTGTCACGCCCTTGAAGGTCTATACAGTTCCACAGCAGTGGTCTTGGCCATTAGACCTTCCAACTGCCTTCTATGGCATTTTCTCGTCGGGGGATCTGAAGGTCCGGGAAGTGCAGAAAGGGACACCAGTAGGCCTCATGCGCCTCCAGAGACATGCTGGATTCACATTTGCAGGATGCAGACACTGCAGCGCCATGGTCTGCAGAAATTGAGCAGCAACTCTTCAACCCTAAGGACGTTTGATAGCTGATGTAGCCTGCAATGCAGAAAGCCCAGGCAGCAGCTGGCTTGCATTGCCTCGTCACAGGATCGCCTCGGATTTGGATACAGCGCATGCGAATGCGCTTTCTTCCACAAGAGGCGGGAGTAACGGAGTAAGTGTTGTTTATGCGAGGCGTTTAGATCACGACGTGCACGAGGTCTAAAACGCTGATTTGCACGGACGCGCTGGTCTACGTGCCCGAGGCAACTGAAATGTGGGTCAGCGTTTAGCGGCAACATGGATCAACTGATGACAGATGAAAACAAAACAGACGTGGCCGGAGGAACCCCCAGAGGTCTTGGACAAGAACGAGCTTCGAGGCAGGTGTCTCAGTTCGTGCTTTCTGAGTTGAGAAGCCCCGAGTGAGCTGGCTTGACTGGCTGCAGACCTCGGCAAAACAGCGGAGAACTTCATCCTCGACTTGGTCGCCCTCGTGAACTGGACGCTCGGTGAAATGAGCCTGTGCACCCGATGGCGAAAATGGCAGCGATGACCGGCCAGGCGGGGATCCGGGGAGACGATCAAGCAGGCCATCAAGGACGAGTTGACCAATGGGTCGTTCCTCGGATCGCGGGCAGGTTCAGCTTGGCTTGACCGCAGGAAGAAAGCTCCGGCCCGCAGCCTTCAGAGGAAGCACTCCTCAGGCGCCCTATCTGCGGCAGTGGGGGTACTGAGGGTCGTTATGAGCTTGCACACTGCTCAGCGTTCCGACGTAGAGCCCACGTGTTGTCTTGGGCTCTGAATGCAACAAGAATAACTAGAACATTTGACTTGACACTAAACCGGAGTGTCTCATCTCAGTATCTCGTCATCCCCACTCGGCTGCAACAAGGCCGGCGGGTATGTCAAGCAGGCAAGCAAGAAGCTACAACGGCATGTGTGGACCAAGCCGGGGGCGTCACAGAAAAGTTAAACTTTGGTCCATGCCGGCACACCACCCCCTGGCTGCTCAAGCCTTTATACCAAGCTCGCCCGACTGAAATATACTGAAATCATTCAAGGTCGCCTGTGACCTTCTACCCCATAGCAAGCTTGGGAGCAGGAAGGGCTGGCAGCGAGATGCCTTGCTTTCACTCTACTTCGGCTCCGAACTTAGACGGATTTGCAGTGTTTGACGGGATGGCAGCGGCTGCATGATTAATGCTGAAGAAAAGCCGTGTGGGCATCCAACGCGTCAGTGCTGTTCGTCGAGGATTCCGGAATTCAAAAGGCAACTCCAACGTGAGAGGCACCTCGGTGTTCCTGCCGGCATTCCCAAGGCACTTTCCGGCCTCCACGCACTGATGGTCATGGCATTACACGATACTGAAGGTATAAAGTCTATGCATGAGTTATAGCTGCGTCACCTGTCGCCCACAGCAACGACGGCGGATGTCCCGCGCCGGACCATCTGTCATAATCTTCCATTGAAAAACTCTAGACCCAAGACGTGCTTGTTGCAGGAAACATGACATGAGCGGAGTTGTCCCGAGGTCCCGATGGTAGAAGTATCGTCGATCCGACACAGGCCGTCATGTTGCTTCTCTGTGGCAATTCAACAGCCCGACGGAAGCAGGCCTTCCGAGCCATCGCTGGGAAGTGGATCGTCGGGTTGGGATCTTATCAACTGGAGCTTTCCGTTGCTCTTCTACTTTGTGTGCTTTGTCCAGGCCGGTCTGCTACTCCCTGGTCTATGGCGGTCGTCTTCGCCAGGAAGTGAAGGCCGCAGCCGCTCCGAGAGCAAGAGCGCTTGGCAGCGTTGGTGGTGTCGAAGGAGTGGTCAGAAAGGTTGTGCCAGTGGGACGTCCAGCAGCTGGTGCCTGAAAGCTTCTGACGAGTGAGATAGTTCGCCTGGGTCGAGTCCTTTTGGCAAGGATTCTGCCGGGGCACTTCGGAGGACCCATAGGCCGGAAACACCATGCTCCTGCACAGCACAGATCTCGCCTGGGCCCACCTCCGAGGGGGCGGCCGGAGTGATATCCAAAGAGCCTTCGAGGTGCTGGAAGAGGGCGTCGAGGCCCTTGACAAGACATCGGGATGCTCCTACCGGCTGTTCATGATTCGGTTGTCTGATGGTGCCACGTCATGTCTGATGATCCATCCGCGAAGAAGTTCAAAAGATGTCTCGGCAGGGGATCCATGTTCAGTCGTAACAGCTCAACACCATCCGAAATGCCAAGCAGTCATCCGCGAAGAAGCTTAAAATGCGTCTCGGTTGAGGCCACGACTTTCGAGGTGACAACTCTGCACCACCGAAACCAGCTCAAGATTATTGCACATGATCCTCGCTCCATTTCTTGTGTTCTGTTTCCACATGCTGCTTGTGTTGTTTCATAGCGCTGTGTGGCGAGTATTTCTGTCCCTGCAAGCTTTCGACTTGCCGGCCTACGGCCTTGCTCTCTACGGAAACTTGAAGCATTCCTGCAAACAGTATTTTCCCACTTTCCGCATTGCCGTAGAATGCAAGTTCAGGGTCAGAATCTGAGTGTGAAATGGTCGTCTGTGTTGAATGTTGAGATGTGCTGTGCATTTTTGTTGTATTCCCTTTATCTGCACTTGTTGTCTGTGTAGTTGGAATACTCGGGATGTTATTCGGTTTGTGGTGACAGCTTTGAGCTGTGCTGGTGGCTTGAAAGGCTTTCCGGTTTCAAGGCAACGGCATGTTCAATTGTCGACGTTAAACAAGCCAGAATCCAGAAGCCATAAAGATCACCAGACGGCCCTGCCGTCAAAGGACATATGACCAATAGTCACCACCACATGACCATACATCTCCTCGCATCGTCTCCTAGCCAAGCGACGAGATCGATATCATACTCGACTGGTGAATACTCGACCGGTGATTATGAAGCCTCGGAGGACTTGATCTCAAACATCCTTCTGCGGCACACGTGCTTGCAGGCCACGGAGAAACCAGAAGTTGAACTGCCTTGGCCGTTTCCTCAACCTGTCCGCTATCCTTCTGAGGCCATTCAATGACGGCAGTTGCTTTCGCCCTGAGCTGTCTGGCAATGTTTCCTTCGGACTGACAGGACGCGAAGCTGCTGACGGATATCCGAGGTGTGCTTCAAGCCCTGAAGGTGATATGACTTTGTCCTTGTAAGGCAATGATGCCATTATTCCTCATTTTCCATTTGTTCGTCTCTTCAACGGAAGAGCCCAAGCTGTGCATGACTGCACTGGGCGTGTCCAGCAGACAGCAAGCAGCATTACAAAGCACTTGGAAAGATAACCACGTAGACTGCAGGAGCACTGCGTGACGCCCAGTGCCAAAGTTTTCGTCGCGCACGGACATCACGCAGTAGCTTCGCTCATCGACGAGCGAAAGTGGGCGCGTGTTGTTCAACATCTCACCCTAAAGACCACGTGCCAGAGACAGTGATTGCTTGCAAAGCGCGAGTCCTGCCGTGCCTGTGCTTGTTATCAGCAGTATTCGAAAGATTGCGTCGTGCGGTCGTAAAACTTCAGGAGATTGCGCGACTGCAATCGGCTCGTGGTAGCCGCCGCCGCAGCCTCAGATCGTGGAGGCTTGACTTTCAGCAGCGATTTCGAGGTCCTTTTGTGCTTGACTCTGTGACAGGTCAGCAGCGTGCCCGTGACGAGAGGCAAACGATTGGCTTGGTGCTTACAAGTGAGGAAAGCTCGACAGGACACTGCAGGCTGCAGCAAGAGCATGCATGCAGGAAGTCATGGACGACAGATGCTGTTGATCACGAGGTCTGGTGGGTTATACCAATGTTGGAAAGAGCTCCGCAAGGGCCTTGTTTTCAACAAGTTTTGTGCAAGTCGTCATGGAGATCATGCTTAGATCGTCAATCGTCTCACGAGCTCCGATCTCCTCGTGGAGGCTCACCAGCTTTGTGTAGCTAAGGCCGCTAGGGAATCTAGGGCCCTGGACGGCTGCTATGTGCAGGACGGTGTTTTCGTAACCCTGGATGTGGCATCCCGTCGCTGCGTGCTGTTAGACTCTCAGGCTCTGTGCTTTTGTGCAGGTGGTCGCCAGTATAGCCAGCATACAACAGTCGTCAACTGCGACACTTGAATAATGAAACCCGATAACGAGGCCATCTGGCCGGGAGTGCTACGTGTTGGACTCCGTCGGCTTGATTCAGGCATGTCTTCGTCACAGACCTGCAGCTCGTGGGTTCATGCGACCCTTCTGCCAGGGCTTGCCGATTAATGTCTGTGAAGCCGTACAGGCGACCGTGCAGGCTGGCCCAGAGTGCAGCAGTGGGTGACACATGCTTCAGATTCATCAGGGCTTGCAGACAGATCAATACTGTCAGGAGATGCATGAAGCAGATGTGGTTCTGCACGTGCGGGATATTGCACATCCTGCCCGAGAGGACTTTGGACTTCACAGTCTCAGTAGAACCTCTGCAGATGGATAATTGCTGTATAAGGCTGATGCGATAGATGCACGGGAGAGTATGCCAAGCTTGTCACTCTGATCTGGAGTGATGCAATCTAGCTTTGGGGTATACAGTATACAAGATTCGGTGAGTCAGATTGGGGGTTTCCATACAAGTTACTTCAAGCGATTGTGGCAGGCACCCCCAATAGTTCACATCTGGAGGAGCAGGCTGAATTGGTGCGAGAGGTGCTGGCAGATGCGAAGATAGACATGGACAGGGTCGTCGAGGCGATCTGGAGGGCATTGGCTTGACTCAAAGTGCGGCACTGGCACCTCCAGAGGTTTGGAACAAGGCAGACCTAGTGATGCAGAAGGAGGCGAAGGGCGAAGGGACGTCTTGAGATGTTCCAGCCCTCGAGCTGCCTCCAGGTGCGCCACCTCCATTATCTGCACCAACAGAAGGCCGGCGCATGGAACGCAAGAGCTGCGAGAAAGAAAGTTGTTGAGGACCCAACGCCAGTTTACACAGTCAGCGCCCTGACAGGCGCTGCAGTAGCACTCGTGAGTAGAGACTCCAGTGTGCATGCTGCCTCTTCTGAAGGCTCCGGTTTCCCCAAACTCTTGGATGGCTTGCAGAAAATGATGGAGGAGAGTCAGCCAGGGCGGAGAACAGTTCGGTGCAGTCACACAGCCGCAGGACTTGGCAATCAAAGCTGTGTCGGGTTCTGGATTTCCTTGCCGTCCTCTAGGGAATTCCCATGATCTCTCTGGATTTGGCATTTGGCAAAGGCCTGGCTTCGAGTCCTCCACCGCTGTTCAGGCGCAAGATATACTGCACTTATTCTGGCCAACGTAGGGCAACACATCTGCAAAGGTTCCACAAAGTGGATGGTGCACTGATGCGGGCTCAGGAAGCCACAAGAGTCTGTTTAGCCTTGCTTCGGTAATCAGCCTGGGAATGATGGACCTGCGGCGTGATTGTCTCGTTTCCTCATGAGACAGAAGCCTCATGTGGGTTCTGCCTCTCGAGGTTCGGATGCCGCAAGATCTGTCCAAGAGTCAGGTTCAAACCCCGGGTCTTCATTATGCTGCAAGCTGGCAGAAAATGGCAAAGAATGAGCTGACAGGGCTGCGCGTAGCTTTAGGCTCAAGTGGTTATCGGGCGGCTTGAAGCCGGTTGTTGCTTGTCTTGGTAGGACGGTGAGACTGACAGGGCCAACATGCACATCAGGCTTCCGATCTGTGGGCCTTCCTCCACAGCGACGCAGCGAGCGACCTAGTGGCAGACTTTCGCAGACGGGGAAGGGGGTGTTCTTCTTGTCAAGTGCTGTGTAAAGCCCCATGGCTGTGCAAGTCGCCGGCAATCTCGCAGTCTTTCAGTGCAGCGATGTCGAGATGCAAACGCATGAGGCTGCAGATACATCTGTCAACACTGATGAGGCCACGCCCGTCTCTTGGGTTCTCCAGTTGTCATTCTCGAACTCTGGCAGGTCACAGGAGAAGTCCTGGTCACGGTCCGAATGAGCGATTCTGCAAGAGCCAGGCTTCGAAGAAGCATATCTCTGGCGGTGCGACTTCGCGGCTGCAAGCCGGTGCGCCAGGTTTTTGAAGAGATTCGGACCTGGCATGCTCACCTGAGTAGCTGAATCTCGGCCAGTAACTCAGCATGTTCAGTAACTTCAATGGGAATTGCTGAAGGGAACAGGTAACTTGACACGCATCGAGCAGGGTCGAGCAGGGAAACCACCAAATCAATCAAGCACTTTGCAGGATGTATTCATTTGATTCAGGTTGAATGCCGGAGACTACGTGATGGGGACGGGGACAGGGAAAGTCGACACGCTCTTTGACGCCGAAGCGAAGCCGGATGGACGCAGCCCGCAGCGCCTGCGGCTTGACCAGCGCTTTGATGAGGATGGGCACTCAGCCGCTCAGCCTGCAGTCACGGTAGGGCACAGCGCCTGAGTTTTCAAGGAGTCCTTGTAGATTGGAGCTGCAAGCTGGGACACCAAGGAGGACCTTGACTGCGACATTGCGATCTAGCGACCTAGACCGGATCGACAGGATCTGGACCTTGGTAGGGATTGCTCATGATTGCTCTACCGGGTGACCTTCAATCCAGAAGGGAGTTTTGGAGGTAAGGATTTGTGTCTGCTTTCCTCGCGGACATGGTGACTTGAGTTAGCCCGTGTATTTACGACTCTGGCTGAAGCTCTATGCACCAGCAGTGGGCACAGACCAACATGAAGAGGTTTTGCCTTTTAGAGGAGCCGCCCTGTAGCGTTGCGCCGAAAGCGGGGCTCACTGCATCCGCATCAGCCGTACGAGGAGCCCTGAGCTGGCCAATGACACGGCAAAAAGAGATGCGCCAAGCGTTTCCCATCTGTAGATTTGTAGATCCGGGAGTGTGGGGACCGCGACCTCCTCCATGCTTCCGCAGCATGCAGCGCTTGCCTGGCTTGCCGCATTCCACGCCTTTTCAAGATCCACATGGACACCCCATAGCTTGCCTTTGCCGCCTTCCAGCACCCTCTCCGATGCTTCTGGTGGAATTTCCCCTTAGCGGTCCGCATTCCAGTCCCCACTCAGCTCTTTATGTAGCCTCCTGACCCTGCTGCACATTCGGGAATAATGTCGCAAGCAGTTTGGCTCGTCTCAGTCTAGCGTTGACCCGCAGCTGAAAGCGTTTCCAGATGGACTGAGACCGCCCGCTTGAAAGCTGAACGAGTGGAAGCCGTGGCCGGACACCGTCAAAGATGACGATGCCCGTGTCTGGTAATGCTGCTCTGCCAACTGCACGTTCTAGTTTGGATTCGTGCAGCCTTTGGACAGACGGCTGCCGATGACTGCCCTGTGCCTGTGCAAGTACTCGTGAAAGATTCCGCAAGCACACGCAGACTGCGTTTTGGTGCTTCTGGGCCGGATCAAGACTCGACATGCCAAGTCTCCTGGATTTCGCATGAGCTCTTTACTCTGGATCGGGAAGCTGGCGCAGAGGGTGTCCACACAGAGGCACTGGATTCGGAAATTCTTTCGCAAGACTTCGTTTTGACTGACGCGCTGAAGCGGGTCCCTTTTGCTGGACGGAGGGGTCGCCTGGCCTTCCGCGAGAGAATTCTACCGATGCCCCGCCTGGATAACGAACAGCTCGATTCAATTCTGGCTGGCAAAGAACTTCTGATATCAGTGTTGCTGCCACGTAAGAATTCAAAAGCATGGGCTGATGTGCAAACTCGCACAATTGCTCAGCAGGCGGCTGCGGTTTTACCGGACCACACTTTTCTTGATGATGGAATGGCAGTGACTTACGAGCAGGCTTTTGTACCATACCGCTTTTCTTTGATCGTCGACGACGACAACGAGACGGTGTCACAGGCATTTGTTCATTGCATTGGCTGGGGGACCATACCATTGTTCAATGGCTTCTCGCACATGGTTGCGATGCTGCCGCGCATTGTCGTGCCGTGGGACCCGGTCTCTTTCCGCGTGGAGGCGTTGCTTTCTTTCCTGCCCGGGATCAACTACGACATAGCTTCGCTTTGGCAGCAGCATCGTCTCGTCCAGGACCTAAGCAGAATCGAGCCCCTCCCTGCTTCCTCTTCTCCCTCCATCTCCCTCCCTCGCTTCGCTCTAGCTCTTGCTTGCTCTCTCTCTCTCTCTCTCTCTCTCTCTCTCGTGCGCCCGCTCCGATTCAGCGCTCTCAGGACCAGCTGCTTTACAGGTACAGCCGTGGGTTCAACGATTCGTTGAAAGCAATCACCTGCCATCTGTGTGCCTACCAGCAGACCAGTCGAGAGGACAGCCCTCTGTGGCTATGTGTGGCTGGTTGTTGCTTCATGTTTTTTCTTGAATGTCAAGATGTCATTCGACTTGTCCACTCCATTCTGTCTTGCCTCTCTGGCCAGGAGGACCCGAAATCCCTTGGTGATGACGAGCTCCCGCCTTTGATGTTCGTTGGAGTGTACTCGGCAAAAGATAACTCTCGAAAGCGAGATGCCATCCGGAAAACCTGGGCACAGGCAGTGCGCACGCAGGGTTTTGATCTCAAGTTCTTCTTGGGAAGGCCGAAGCTGAGTCCACGCCTTATACCTTTGCAGGCTGAAATGGCAAAGCACAGGGACGTGATTCTGCTTGATGTTGAAGAAGGATATAAGTGGAACTCGGTGAAAGGATTGATGTTTTTGGAGTGGTGTGCCCAGAATGTGTTGGCTCGATTCATTGTCAAAGCCGATGATGACATCTACCTTCGTCCAGACCCTCTGATATTCTTTCTGCAGAGCCGGCCTTCGTATGGATACGTTTGGGGATACTTCGACTACCTCAGTCCTGTGCCCAAGGATCAGGATCATGCGTTCTATAATCCTGATGACATCTACCCTTTTGCAGTCTTCCCTCCATATGCAAGAGGTCTGTTGCGCGTGTTGTCGGCAGATGTAGTTCTAGCGCTTGCTCGAATGAGCTTTGCTGGCAAGCTTCCACTGGTCTATGGAGATGATCCATGTTTTGGGGTCCACTTGCGGTATCTTCGGGATGACAAGTTGGGCTTGCCTATGCTCACCTTGGATGATCGGGACTCGTACAGAGTTTTCGCAATGGAGCCGAGCTGCAATCCTGCACTCTGGTCGCATGCAACGCGGCGATCTTGGGTTGTCCACCATGTATCGCCAGAGCAAATCTTTTGCATGTGGACCGCTGATGCGAGTGCTGGTCTCTACCAGCAGGATGGGCCAGGCAATGTTCAGCTTGCTCCAGAAGCCATTCCGCTGAGCATTGCCGCTGCGAGCGTTGCAACACAAGATCGACTCGTCTTTGAAGAGCCGTGCCTCAGCTGCCCTGATACTTGCTGATAGCTTATGCGGCAGTGCGTATTCGAGTGCCTCGGTCTTCAGGCCACCTATGCCGGATGTTTGCAAATGCTTGGAGTTTGGACCACTGGCCTCAGAGCTATCCAGCCGGCGGGACAAGATCAACGCTTCAAGGAGGGGAGGGGGGGTGGGCGGGGTGTTGCAGAGGGGTGACATGAGAGACTCGGCGCTTCGGTCGTGTGCCCTCAGGACCTACATGACGTGGGGCCATCCCGGTCTCTTGGAAAAGGACATTCAGCAATGAGTGCACGAGTTTCTCACATTCTCCGACACCGCCGCTGGATAACAACGGATGACTCCGTGTGCTGTGGCATCCTCGAGTGTGTCCGCTGGTTATGTTCTTGACTGAGAAGCGAGACCCTGAGATGTTGATGTAGGTGGTTCCGTATCAATTCAGTAAACGAAGGAGAGAGTTTGTTGATTCCGAACGATTCTGGATAGAGCACCGTGTTTGGTGTTTGTGCTTCTCAGCCGTGCAAGGGTTGCCATCGTCCATGCTTGTGACACTGAGGAGAGCTCAGGCTAAGCCAAGTTAGGACGTTTGGGACAGGCGGGGTGCAATTCTAGCCCTCTCGGATAAGCAGAGCAAGGCCGCTGCAGCCGACCCACAATCACAATGCGCTGACACGTTAGTCTTCTTGCTTTGCCATGGCCAGTAAGTCGGCGCATCAGTTACTCGACGAAAGATCGTCATTGTTGTTCCTTCAGCTTTCTACGTTCAAGCGTCCACGACACAAGCATCAGCATGATGCGGTGGCAGACTGTCTCATGGAGCTTCAGAACATCCTGCCGCATACACCCCCAGCTGCTCTTTTGAGCAAGTTGCTAGGTCCGGTTTAGGGTACTTCAGTCGACGGTAGAGCCATTTGAGCCCGGAGCGCGCTTCTCCGATGCGCTTGTGGGGTTCAACGCGCGCTATGCTCAGTTTTCGGCCTCACTTACCAGGTTAGTTGAAACTGCAGCACAGTGGAGGCGATGATCGACAGCTTGTTCCTGATTTCCGCTTCGGGAAATTATCTTGTGGAGAGGCCGCAACTAGCAGTGCAAGGCTTGACATTGACTGAATCTGAAAGCATCTGCGAAGACCGTGTCCGACCTGTTGAGTCGTTGACCCTGGCCGTAGAAAGTCCGAAGCCTGCAGTCTGCCAGCTGTTCTTTTGATTCGCAATGCAGTCTTTGGGTCGATGTTACTGTTGCGCATGGGCTCCCTCTCGTTGCTGCCTTTGTAGCACTTGCCAACCTGCTTCTTCTGACTGGGTTTGGTTTGGATGGTTCTGCCAGCTTTGTCTTGGAGGCATTTTTGTGGCCCAACACCGCGATTGGTCTGTGGATGGCTCAGTTCCATCTTATGGCTTGGTCATGCGCATTGCTGGGCAGCTGAGGCGAGCCATTAGTTGAGAAACTGCGTGGTGGTGAGAAGCCCGAAGCCTTACCGCCAGTGGAATCCTCGGAGTCTCCTTGTGAGTGGCTCGTACTCATAGACTCATAGACATCAATCTGCTATGGCTATGCGGGCCTGGGTCTCTCTGAACACACACACACACATCTTTGACAGCAATGTTGCATGCAGCGACAACTGTTGCTGTGGGGTTCGGAGTTCTGGCTTATGTGTTCGGGTCAAGAGGTTCTGGATTAAGTAGCAGGGAGAAGTGGGAGACCGGAGCTTCGGACCACGGCAATTTCCAGTCCCCACTGGCGAAACTCTGCTCGGCTTTGTGCAAGTCGAAATGCCGACAAGCAATCCGGCTGTCGCCCACGTGCCAGCGCGAAACT